ACCAGGTACTGTACCCAGTGGAAAACCCCCCAAAAGTGAACCGTACCGAGCCGTACCGTGCCGTACCATGCAGTGGAAAAGCGCCATTAGAGAAGGCTGTTGTAATAAACGGATTCTTGCTTTATCGTGCAAGCTCACCGATACGGGGTCAAAAACTGTTGCTTGGGGAGAGCTGTGTGTTCTCTGTGTGTGTGCCCTGACGTAACGCTCATTTCACCCCAAATTTTAAGCGGTTACCGTTAGAAGGACTGGTTCGACGGCAGCATTTTAGTGCACAGACGAAAGCAAGAGCTTGTGTGCACTAAAAGTCACAGACAGTCAGAGAAGGCGGATTTGGGAAAAAAAAAAAAAAAAGAGGAAGAGAGAACTTTGACCTTCACTTCCAGACCTGCTGTCACCCAGTCTGCCTCCAGCACTTGTCTGCGTACCAGCTGAGGACCTGCAAGAGGGTCAGCTGGGGCAAGAAGCCATGAAACTTCACTGTTCCTCTAGCAGAAGACAGTTAGATGCTTTAAAGCACAATTATCACAACCATGACACCGCTATAGTACGGAGGAAGCTTTACTAGATCTATTTCCTGAAGGTGATGTTGAATTGAGTACTTTTATTCAACAAGGATGCATTAAATGATCAAAGTGACAGTAGAGACATTTATAATGTTACAAAAGATTGCTACTTCAAATAAATGCTTAAATGTTCTTTTAAACTTTCTATTCAAAGAATCCTGAAAAAATATCATAAAAACAAAAATGTAAAGCACAATTGTTTTTAACCGAGGAATGTTTCTCAAGCACCAAATCAGCATATTAGAAGGATCTTGTGAAGACTGGAGTAATGATCGCTGAAAATTCAGCTTTGCAAACATTTTCAAATAACTGTCTTTTATTTGCATATATTTCAAAATAGTTCATTCCTGTGAAGGCAATGTTTTACAAAATATAAAAAATACAAAATACTGTTTTTACCGTATTTTTTATTAAATAAATGCAGTCTTGGCAAGCATAAGAGATTTCTTTCAAAAAACAAACAAACAAACAAACAAATATTATTAACCCCAAACTTTTGAATGGTAGTGTATGTATACTTGAAAAAGTACTCATTGACATTGGGGAATGGGGACACAGACTGAAATAAACTAATGCAATAGTCTTCTAGATCAGTGTTTCCCAACCTTTTTTTAGTCGCGGCACCCTTTGGAAATTTTAACAAATTTGTGGCACCCTACAAAATTTATTTTGTCACAATATTTGAATTTCTAATTTCGATATGATACTTTGAAAAGTGTAGATATTCGGTACAGCAGGGAAGAACTGCAGAATATACTGTCATACAGATATGTTTAATATTATAAAAAAAAAATTGTCCATCAATGGTGGCAATCAGTAGGCTAATTTCTAATGAAAAGACCAATTTATATGACAGATTTTAATGTAGGCTTTTATTCATATGTAAACATTGTGAGATAGCTAGTTATAATGGTAATTTTTGAACATTTTAGCAATTTAAAAATATTAAAAAAGTATTTTTTACGCGGCACCCCTGCTCTCGACAGAAGGCACACCAGGGTGCCGCGGCACCCCGGTTGGGGAAACACTGTTCTAGATGATAAAAAATGTTGATCTCATCATAAGTTGTCATGTCATCGTTAGTGCTAAAACTCATTTTGACATTCCCTCAGGGCTGATGATTTTAAGGTTGTATATATCCTGAGGCTCTGATGACTGCCTGTAGCCACATGGGAAAGAGAAGTGACCTGAAGGGAATTACTACATTAAATCTGCTACCAAAAAGCCTGAGGATTCAGAGAATGTGGCTTTAAGCAGCAAGTTGTTATATGAGTGGAAAAAGGCTGCTTTGTTAAAAAAAAAAAAAAAAAGAAAAAGAAATGGGGAAATGGCACAAAAACGTGCATGAATTGCATGCACGCCAATATTAACAGCGGATGTGATTATGAAAGCGTCTATAGATATTTAGAAAGGTCTAATAAAACACTGACAGAGGGTTCAGATGGTAGAGTGTAGATTTATTTTTTTCTTCTTCATTATTTCCACCACTTTCTTTGCTGCCCATATAATAAAAAGAAAAGAAAAGAAGTTTATAGAAACTTTATGAAAAAAAAAGAAACATGCAGCAAGCCCATAAATTTAGAGAACTTTTAAATATATCTAAACTCTCAGAGAAACAGCTTTGGCCATTAAAGGCCAGCAGTTCTGATTTGAATATTAGAAGACTCATCCATTCATCTGAAACTGTTCCTCCATCTTCTGTGGCAGGAAAGAGGGGGATGGTCAGCGAGAAGGGGAAAAAAAGCCTGCTTGTTTTGCAGCACAACAGGCCACTGCAGCCCTCCTGCTAACCCACGGCTAGTGAGGAGGGGTTGGAGGGAAAGGGCCTGCACACAGCGGTGCTGTTCCTGGCGTAGATTGAAAGCATGTTGTCAGATAACTGAAATACCAGCCTTGAAATCGCTGTCCAATGCCAGTGTTTGTGTGCAACACTTTTGTGCGTTTGTGACTGACCCACATCTACTGCGATCCTACACATTTGTCAAAGCCAGTCATTGGCTAGTTAGTACCAGGATGAGTTGCATGACTTTATAATTGCTAAAAACTGAAACAATTAATTATATTCATGCTAATTTTTTATGGATTTTCATGTTCATTGTATCATTAAGGCCCACAGTTGACTTTTCCAAGTTTCATTCAGACACATACTAAGGGTATGAATCCACAGATATTTCAATTGGTTTATTGCTGTAGTGTTAAGGTGTCTAAAGGCCAAGGTAAAGCATTCCAATACCAAAACAACACTATTTATCATTCATATGCATTGGTGAACATAGCTAAATGGCTCTTGTATGTATATCTTAGGCAATACACAAATTATTTAAATCCATTCAGCAAAATATGCCATCATGTGTCATACTTGCATTGTCACCAAATTACAATTTATATCTAATTAAAGCATAAAAATTAATACAAAAAATTACATTTGGCTGAGACAAAAATAAAACAATTTGAAAACATCCCCTTATTGTTCGTTTAAAGTGCCAAAAATTGGTTATGAGAACTTAGTTGCTATCGAAAATCCCGTTAGTTAAATAAAAAGTTAAGTGTACTAAATCGATAAGAATTTCTCTGACCTCAATTTTGAAGCTTATGTAACCCTCGCAAACAATGTTTTCTCTGAAATCACTCCAGTATTTTGATAAGGGCGACGTTATGCATTGTAAGCGACTTTGCACTAGATACGAAATGTTTACTGGAACAACATGTTGGATTCAAACTTTTCTCTGTGGACAAAAGAGGAACCGGCACTTGACTTTTCGATTTGATGGCAACCACAAGAAAAGGCAAGCGAGATGAAAAGCCTAAAGCGACTACAAAGCAGTCACACATCTGCTCCGCCATACCGGCTTCATATCTGCTCACTGAGTGGACCGACACACATTAAAAGCTGCCATCTTAGGTTAAAGACTTGAGGCAGCGAGACAACGAACGATACCATCTTCAAACATTTCTTTGTTAGATTGTTAGTTTTAAATAACTTCCTAAACACTAAATATTTTTGTAAAAGTTAATTCAAACGACAAAATACGGATGTGTTTTAAAACGGCATCAAAAACACTACAGGATAAATGAGCTTTTCCCCCGTGTTCGTGGCTTCAGAACGCTGTTAATGAAGCAGGTGCTTTTCAAGTTTCGTGTGAGGCTTTAATATGGAGTTTAGATACTAAAACCTGATCGACTTCACGCATAGTACGAGATAAACAAAATCGAAAACTTTTGAAAACACGGAAACTCGTCCAATAATAAACCAGGTGCATTTTTTCAGTTCCCCTCAAATAAAGTGTCGTCCGATCCTCCCTCCCTCCCTTTAAAACCCGTCTACCTGTTGAGAGGCAAAGGGGACAAAAGAAACGTGAGATGAGTTGTGTCCAGCTAGCTAGTTAGCTTGTTGTGAGACAATGAAGTCGACGCTGTCCGTCTCCTACAGCAGATCGGCCACTTCCAACCAGCTAATTACCCCTGCGCACGCCTGCCTCTCCAACGCACTTCTCAGAGCCGACCAAACGATTAAAATAAAGCCTTTCCCCAGCCCCCAAAAAAACAAGTCACATCTATGAATTGTTAGTAATAAAATACAAAAGAGCTTTAACTCATATAAACGAATAAATAAAGAAAACGAGGGAATGACCATCTGGCCTCAAGCACCCTTCCCAGGGATCTATATTGTCCTTCGGACGAGCGCACTTTCCGACTCGCTTTTCTATTTCCACAAACCATTTCGAGCCTCATCCAATGTACTACGCGAAAAACACAAGCACGGCAACTTTGATGTTATCCTTACGTGCAGTTTTGTGCGCTTGAAAACTATTCTTGAGTGTAATTGTTGATACTAGGGGTCGGGGATCTCCCTCATTCAGCTCGGCCAATGACTCACCTTTACGTTCAAACCGCCTCGTGTCTCAAGAATTAGCTTGCGCTCACTTTATGTGATTTTGAAAAAAATGAATTTGACCAATTCGTGAAGGATATAAAGAGTATAAGCGTTGTCTTAGACCTTGAAGAAAATGTATTGTTTGTACACAATTTAACTAACACATTTCTCGCGTCCACTCCTATAGGGGTCCGTGCGGCTCTATACAATGTAGTGCGTGTGAGCTAAACCAGCTAATGTTAGCATGTGCTCGAGCTACTTTGAGATTCTTCGAGAAGTTAAAACACAAAGAAACGAAAATACTAGCGTGCGGTTTCGGTTTTCCCTGTTAAGATTTGAATTAAAAACTTTTCGCTGTTTTAAAACACAGTTTATACCGCGGGTACCACCATGGTAGAAAACAAGTTAAATGTACAGTCAAAAACATTTTTCTCACAATGAAAGTACGGGTATATTTGTACAACAATGGTAAAAACGTTTGAAACTAACTAATACGTTTGTGTACGACTGATAAAGTCGGTGGATCTATATTGTATCATTAAAGAAAGGCGATTCCTTACCCTACTCAACGCGGGTCAGTTTAGGGTTTTCACCAATTAACTCCTCTTCGTATATCGTTTAAATACGTAAATAACTGGCGAAATTCAGTCGGTAAAGTCGGCGTCTCAGCGTCCCGTCCCCGCCGACTCTGCTTCTCTCCTTTGTGTTAATTTCACTCAATTGGAGTTTAATCCCATCGATCCAGGCAGTCGCCTTCTCGTGTCCTCTCCTCTAGACACTCGCGCTCACCTTCCACAGGCGGGGGGCGCGTGCATGACTTGCGGGATAAACATGCGTGCGCGTGAGTGACCTCGCCGGGCTGTGACGCAACTGCTTTTAATAAATAAATAAATAAAATATATTTGTTTCTTTTACTTTCCAGGTCTTTATAAAAAATAAAAAAAAACTGTGAACCGTATTGTTTCGATACTGCAGTTTTTCGTGGACAAATTCTTTCATATTTTCATCTTATATTTCGAGTTTTTGAAACTTTATAACGTTTGTCATGTTTTATCTAACAGTCCTTTTAGTAAAAGAACGTCATGCGTAATAATAAACCCTTGCTTGTGTTTTATCTTTAAGTTTTAAAGCATGTTTGCGTGCTACCTGAGAAACTCGTGTAGAGATCGCAATGTACAGCTGTTTTATATGTAAACAAATGTGTGCGCGAATCATATACATTTTTTACTTTTGTAAATCATTTTTGTCTTTAACAGTTAAAAGAAGAACTAAACAAGACAATTAAACATGCTGTGGTTGCTTTTCCATTCACTACTTTACAATTATTAGAACAATTATACGCAACCAAGCAACACATATACAAGCGGAATTTACCTGTATCGTTGACCAGCCAATCACTGTTGGCGGCGGTACCCCGGATGTTCAGGCCTGCCCTTGATCTTTATGTCAGATCTATATGCACGTAAACATGTGGGTTGTTGCATTCCTCTGGCGCCATCACACACACACAGTGTTTTGTTGTTATAAGTTGTATTATCAGATAATTTCACTTGAACTAATTTCCTATGCAAAAAAAATAGACACGAATATTATGAAAACAGCAAATACACACACACACATATATATATATATATATATGGAAACAGATTTTTTTTTGTCGTATGCAAACCATCACAAAGCTAGCCCGTCGCACAAAAAAAAAACCACCAAAAAAAAACCACACATATGCAAACTCAGTTTAGAAGGTTTTATTATATATTTTTTTCGTGATAGCATTTAATTTGAGAACACAGCAAATAAGGTCGAGGGTCACAAAGTTACTCCAGGTTTGGCTTTATCACACCCCTTTCACAACAGAACAGACAAGATGTTCACCATAAATCTATTAACAACATAGTGCCAAGCGAAAGCAAGTCTTTACACAATCACTCAGACACCTAAATTAATGTGGATCTGCACTGACTTTACACAGCGGACTGCATTGGAGAAAATTTACTTTGAAGAGAGGGAAAAAAATAGATACATTTATATGCATACAAATGCATGCATATGTGATGACTTGTATGGATATATAGGATATATATATTGCATGTATGCGTGAATGTCTGTCTAATGGATAAGTGAGTCTAGCGTTATCATATGCAATATACAATTGCACGTAATTACTGAAATGATCCTGTGTAACATGAATATGTAATTTTTTTCTGAAGTCCCTAAATCTTTTAAGGCAAACAGCAGATCTAGTTTTGGAGATGTGATCCATATCTGGAGCCATGATTTTAGAACACTGGTAAACACAAATTTGGCATTAAAATAGGAATATAGAGCCAGAGTTTCTATACACTGAGGAGGATTGAGGGCACGGATACGAGGAGTCAAGGCAGATGGCAGGACCAAACTAAAATAAATGAAGTAAAAGATTACCTTAAAATGGTGTCAAAGCGGTTTTGGAAATATCGCAATACTGTTGCAGTTTCAAGCTCTATTCATACAGTATAGAATTTAAGCAAATTCAGTACAGAATTCTAGCTCGGTCAACATACACCAAAGCAAGAAATGATAACTATATATACAGAATGTGAATGATAAATACAGATTTAAAACAGTCCTGCTTTTTTCTTCTTCTTCAAACTTCTTCACTTTGATAACAGCTGTTCCTTTTTAAGACCAGCTCTGCGTTCCTTTTATTTTGACTTCAGGGTTCACCACAGTTTTCATTGAATTCACCCACATAAACTGATTAAAATACTATAGATGACTTTTGTAGTGTTTAATACAGTTCAGCTTGAAGTCAAATGGGCAAAACAAAAACAAACAAACAAATAAAAAAACAACTTGCTGTAAAACAAACATGAATATATTTACCATAATAACTCCAAAGCTGCTGTCTTTTTCTTTACTACTAACCATATAATGTCTGCTGTAGCCCAAACAGGCTTCAGGAGTTTGTCAGGAGGTTGAAGTGGACCTGGACTTCAGAAATATTTTCTTTTTTGTATTGTTTTGGACAGCCATCTAACATATGATTTGAATCTGGGGCCTGGGCTATGGGAGGTTAAGAAAATGTTAGTGAGCCCGACCAGTCCAGTAGAAACGTAAGGGGCGGAGAGAGACGTGGAGAAGACTGGAGGGTAAAGGGTAGTGCTCAGCAACAGCCCCCTCCGGCTTGCTGTCCTCCCTGACTGCCGCCCATCGTGGAGTTGGTGGCAGCATGCTGGGGTCCAATCTTAATGCCGTTAGCCTGCGCACACAAATCAAACACATGTAAGACACTTACCAACACTCATTTCCATTTCTGATGACAAGACCTGATGATGTACAAATGATGGTGATTTTGTACTGTCAGATAACTCTGTATTAAGCAGAAAATACCAGCCCCTGTAGGCCTGAATTAGTGGGCCACTTTTGTCAGCACTGAGGCGGGAGAACCTCTAGAGTGTTATTCCAGTGGTAACACAGACACAGGGAAACCTGCCAAAGCTTTAAAAACACACACACACCCAAGCTGGTGGCACTTTCATTCATCACACAAAGGTGTCCTCCGTGCCAACTTTTCCCTTAAGCGGGCTCACGTTCAAAAACGACACTCCGTAGCAAGGCTGCGCTTTTGTAACATTCTCAGGAAACTACATTGCGCCAAATCTGATTTATAGTGATCTGAGGTGAGCTCACATGTGAGCCTTAAGGGTTCCTGGCCAGGATCTCTATCAGCTGATGTGGTTTGGACTCTGTGCCCTAACCTTAAAAAAAAAAAAAAAACTTTTCCAACTACTCCAATAAAATAGCTGCAGTGGGCGCACCTCCATCAAATGGCTTTAACTTACAAGATGTGAGGAATTTATGTGTTGGCTACCAGCCAATAGAGAGAAACTGAAGGGCCGGAGGGCTTGTGTGGAGCTTTCCCTAGAGTACATCTGCTTTCCAGGAAAGTCATCATCCTGCCCCTTTCTCTCACTTCAGTCATACATGCATTTATACCATTTTACAAGTATTCACTACCATTACATTCCTGAACATTTTATCGGCTGTTACAATGCCTGAAATCACATGCAAACAAGTATAATAATAACTGATATGCTCCATTGGCTATTAGATCTGAATTTGCATAGATTTGAGGACAACAATGTGGCTACTGTGGGAAAACATCACTACAGTGCAAAAGGTATCAATCATCCAATGTGAGACTAGAATATGATTTTACTCTTTTATTAAACCTATTTTTTGATGAAAAACAATGAAGTTTTTGTCAGCAGTAATTTCTACTAAAATTAAAGGTAAAGCACATAATTTAAGTACCATCAGCGTCACCAAACTGTTAAATTTGGAGAAAAAAAAACAGGAACACAATTTGGATTAACATATAGCCGCTATTAATATTAAATAGGGAAACCAGCAAGTATTTTAACACAGAAAAAAAAAATTACATTCACCATTCTGGATAAGGTTTGTTAATCTATCTAAAAGCTAATCAAATTGTGCTGAAAGTTTCTAAATCTACCCACCAGACCATACATAATGGATTTCAGCGTAATGCTACAGGAAGTCTTCTTGACCCAATTATTTTTAACTTGTAACAGCAAACAAAGAATGTGCTTCCTTTTCATATGGGTTACCTCGTTGTTTATATCAAAGACTCCCTCCTGGATCTTTTCATAAATTTCCTTGGCCGTGTTGATAAATGCCTGAAATACAAAGAACCATATTTTAAACAGAACCTAAATGAGACCAATGCAAACACAACCAATACTGGACACAAAACAATACCGCATACTGGAATCAATATAAGTCATGAATAAATTAGATCAGCTTGACATTTTCAAACTAAGTCACAGTTTTTACAGTTGATGGCTGGTGCCCCCAACTGGCTGAAAGTGATGGTGTGTATTATTATTGGAATCAAGCACACATTGGTCACCTAGAGAAAATAAACATGGCCGTGTGCACGGTTACCTTTAAAGTGTTAAGACCTGCCACTGGCACTTTGTAGCCTAATTAACAGAGCTGCTTTGCTTTTTGGTGCAACTGCCTTTCAGCTCTCCAGAGCAATCAGTCCTCTGCGGCTCAATTACCACCGAGAGAGAAAGAGATGTTTGAGCCAGTGCCGCAGATGTGTGCGCTCATATTCGTGCACGTGTGTGTGTGTGGCAGGGAATCTATGAATATGCATGAACCTTAAATAGGAGATTGAAACGTCATAAAGGGGTGGGGGAAGGGTCAGGAGAATTCACACGACACTAATGAGACAAATTAATCATTGAGTCATCTTATACTGGGAGGATGGGGGAGGGACTTCCACAATTTAACACCCCCGTTCTTTTAAAGCCATCTCTAAGCCCTGCTTTAGCTTCTTGGCTTCCACCACAGAGATCCGAAAGTTTTTCTCCCCAGTCTGTGTGTCCCTAGGGTGTTATCTATATGCACATCTGTGCACATGTTTTCACACAAGAAGCCAAACATAAATCACGACACAAGCACTGAAGACCTCTGAGCCACACAAGTGCTGTTTTACCTCTTCTACGTTTGATGCAGTCTTTGCAGAAGTCTCCATGAAGATCAGTCCATGTTCTCTGGCAAAGGCCTCGCCTTCCTCTTTCTTCACCTCTCTCCGTGACTCCAAATCACTACCATGAAAAAAACAAACAGATCAGATTTTAATTCAGATTATACTGGACTGTGAAATAAACTGCCATTCAAAAGTTTGGGAAGTGTGTACGATTTTTTTTTTAATGTTTTTCAAAGACTCTTATGTTCACAAAGGCTGCATTTATTTAATCAGGAATACAATAAAAGCAGTGCTATTGTGAAATATTATTACAATCT